CAGTCATTCGTCTCACCAAGGATCATGATGTGGCTTTACTTTTCTTGGCCGATTTATGTATTATCCAGGACTTACGCTCCAGGACTATGAATGGACAGATACATCTTCGTGATGGATTATACTATCTTCGGCGAGTAGGTGCGGAGATGGGTCGCAAAGAGGAGCAATCTTCAGTGTTCACCTCAAAGAGTAAGGAGACTTTGAAACTTTGGCACGCTAGACTGGGGCATCCCTCTTCTAGCAAGTTCGCCACTTTGGCAGTTCTCTCTTGTTATCGGATTCTAGTTATGATTTTTCCCATTGTGATTCTTGTCTTGGGCTAAACTCACTCGAGAGCCTTTTGTTACGCATTCGATTAAGACGCGTGCTTGTTTTGAACTTGTTCACATGGATATTTGGGGTGATTATCGTATCCCTTCATTTGATGGGTCACATTATTTTTTGACTATAATGGACGACTATAGTCGAGCCACCTGGATTTATTTGTTTAAGTTTAAGTCTGATGTGGAACGGTATATCAAACTTTTCTGTCAAATGGTCGGGACTCAGTAGGATCGTTCAGCTCGAAAAATTCATACTGATAATGATATGGAATTCCTGACAATAGGTTTATGAGAGTATTATGAGGCGCACGGAATTTTGCTTCAACCCTCATGTGTTAATACGCCGCAGCAGAATGGTGTTGCCGAGCACAAACACCGGCATCTTTTGGAGAGTGCTCGTGCTCTGCGGTTTCGTTATGGTCTTCTAGTTCGTTTTTGGGGTGAGTGTATATTAACTGCCGCGTATCTGATTAATCGCCTTCCCTCTGCTGTTCTCCATAATAAGACGCCTTATGAGGTTCTCCTTGGGAGCCACCGTCTTATGATCATCTTTGAAGTTTCGGCTGTTTAGTTTATGCGAAGGATAGATGTCATGGCCTCGATAAGTTTGAGGAAAGGGGGAGACCTGGAATTTTCCTCGGGTATCCTGCTTCACAGAAAGGATACCGTGTTTATGACCTGCGTTTGCGGTGGATCTACTCATTACGAGACATCCATTTTGTTGAAGATAAGTTTCCTTTCTATTCCTCAAATGTTCTTAATCCCGATCATGTTTTATCTAGTCCTCATCATGAACTTTCTATGCAGCCAGAGAATCCTTCTCCACTCGTGCATGTAGACGTGGTGGACATAGAAGAGTCCCTGCATGGATCTCATTCCCTTGTTGGTGATGATGCAAATATGGGGGAGCATGATTCCCATGACACATCGCAGGATAATAAGACGGGAGAGTCTCTAGTTGAGGACATGCCTCTCGCGACGGAAGCTCCTGTTGAGCCCATCTCACGGCGGAGTGACCGCGTTCATCGACCACCTCCAAGTCTGATGGATATATATGATGTTCAATTGTCCTAGGGAGCTTAAGAAGCATCAACGGTCACTTATCCTATGGCGCATCAAGTCAGCTACCATCGCTTTGTGGAAGCTCACTTGGCCTTTTTGACGTCAGTCAGTAAGCTCAAGGAGCCTACAACCTTTGCGGAAGCTGTACAAGATGCCCGTTGGCGGGCGGCCATGCAAACTAAGGTGTCGGCTCTTGAAGCAAATGGAACATGGACTCTTGAAGAATTACCACCAGGACCACGTCTCATAGATTCCAAGTGGGTTTATAAAATTAAATACCCACCTGATGGATCGATTGAGGGCTTCAAGGCGTGGCTTGTAGCCAAAGGATATACGCAGCTAGAGGGAGTTGATTCCCATGACACCTTCGCCCCCGTTGCAAAGGTTGTCACAGTACGAGTGTACATGCGTGTTCCTGCTTGGGGATTTAGAGGAGAAAGTGTACATGCGTGTTCCAGAAGGTTTTAGTCAGTCGGGCGATACTCGGGTATGTCGTTTGCGCAAGTCTATATATGGCTTGAAGCAAGCATCCCAGAATTGGTACCAAAAGTTCACTCAAGCACTCAGGGAACTTGGTTTCAAGCCCTATCGGGCTGATCATTCCCTTCTTCTTTACCGATAGGGTGGTGTGTTTGTAGCTGCCTTGATCTATGTTGATGAAGTGATACTGACAGGCACTGATTCTTCTCTCATAGTTCGGGTCAAGGATTTCCTTCATCAAGCTTCAGCATCAAAGATTTGAGACCCTTAAAGTATTTTCTCGGTATCGAGGTTGCTCGGTCAGCCGATGGTATAGTCTTAAGCCAACGTAAGTATACTGTAGATATTCTTTGAGATGCAGGGGTGGCAAGCTCATGACCAACTTCCCTATGGAGCAAAATCATACACTCACTCGACACACTGACGAGGTCGCTGGTGATGCGAGTGGATATAGGCGACTTGTGGGATGTTTTCTCTACTTAACGGTAACACGTCCCGACATCTCTTACGCTGTCAATATCTTATCACAGTTTGTTCATTGTCCTAGCCCAGAGCATGCTGTTGTTGACATGCGCGTGCTTCGTTATTTGAAGCAGGCCCCGGGACAAGGTCTCTTTTCCCGGCTGCCAACTACTTGAGTCTCACAGCATTCTGCGACGCGGGCTGGGCTAGCTGCCAGGCGACACATCGATCCACGACAGTTTATTACATTCAACTTGGTGGAGCCCCCGTGTTGTGGCGAACAGAAGATCGCCTCCTCCATGCAACTCGCTGATATTTTCACGAAGGCGCTGGGGATAGAACAATTTCATTTTCACTTGTCTAACCTGGGCATTCGTGATCTTCATGCTCCAGTTTGAGGGGGAGTGTTGAGCGTGGTAGAGTGTTGGGCGCTGTCGTGTATCATAGTATAAGTTTGGAGAACCTTTCTGTAGTTTGTGACCTAGCTAGTTCCCTCCTTATATAAAGGGGTGCTAGGGCTGCCGCATCTATGTATGCGATAGACGTGAGAATTACGGTGATAATAAAAGAACCTGAGAGCTTCGGCTCTTCGTGGAGTAGTCTCGTTCTCATTGAACGGGGAAACCAACGTACATCGCTATGTTGTTTGATTGTTAGCTTTCGCGTTCATTAGTTTTTTTCAAAATACACCCAATTGTAAACACAAAATGGAAATCAACATGATTTTGAATTCTCGGCAATATAATTATGAATCCATATTTCAAATATACAATCGATTTTATATAAATAAGTTCCACAAAACAGTTGGAGCTATTAGCTAATAATATCTATGTTGATCATCCCGTTCAGCTGGCTAACAACTTTGGTGCCTGCATGGGGGAACTAACCACTTCACTGCTCTCGTCATCTCCCCAAGTTGTAGCAATGAATAGAGACGCAATATTCATCACCATCAGTTCAGCTGCACTTGCACATGCATGGAAGTTCCAGAATAAGGCACCACAACCATCCCAGAAAGACAAAAAAGGAAGAAAGGCTTTATCCCCTTCCTTCCATTCCATGCACATGCATCAACCAAGCACACAGGACAGGACAGTAAGTCGGCCTCCATACTTTCTGGTCCATGCATACATACCGTTTGGTTTCGGCGACATGGATCGATATGCTGTGGTCTGTAGAGTAGTAGTTGCCACATTGAAGCGGGAGGAAGGAAGTGGCCGGTAGCATGTGGGAATTAGGGAAAGTGACATAATCACGAATCTATATATATAGTGGATATGCATGAACCAAACTAGCTAGCTACTGCAGAAATGAAAATTAAAGTGTACATGATAGATTTGATGAGTTCTGATAATGTCACCACAGCACACTACTGTAGCCCATGGTTTTTTTTGTTTCTTTTTCCTTTTCTTGCTTTCTGTTGCATTTATATGCTATGCGCCTATGAGTATGAGGGTTGGGAAAGAGGGAAGCTACGCAACAAAAGAAATGATATGATTGCGGTCAAACATAGCAGCTACTACCCTACAAACAAATTAACGCATGAGAGAGGAGGAGGAGAAGAAGAAGAAGCATGCACGATGGGAGCATGGGGGTTGAAAGTTACATGAAAACATGATGTGTGTCTTTAGCATTTTACCCATATATATGTATAGCAAAATGGCCATATGGGTAGGTTTCCTATGTTTAGATATATGGTGATGTGAGCCACGGACTCTTGTCCTCTCCTAATGGAACCCCTCTAACGACTTAAGGCATGAGTAGAAGTCTGGAGAAGATAGATTACCCGCCTTTCATCCCAGAGAGTGAGAGGGAGAGGGAGGGAGAGCGATTTTAAGAGTGGGGTATAAGATTTATGATAACATTTTTTCAATAACTCGAGTTATTTGAATCAATTGGTTCTTAACATGGTATTAGAGTTGGTTTGGCCAAGTGATTGTGTGTTTGAGTCTCTACGACCCCAATATTAATAGTTAATTAAAACACTATGCAAGAAACTTAACATGATAAGCTCCCAGGTGTGCACTAATTGTTCATGCACACGTAATCAATGATTTTAGACATTAAAAATACGAGCTAATTTGGTTAATAAAGCCTGATATTGATGTCAATAATGCAGTTAACATTAGGATTTAAATGGAGAATGTGACTATCATGAATGTCAAGATACTATTACCGTGGTAGCATGTTTTTGACATATGAATGCGATTTTATCTTATCTTATCTTATCGTTCATCTTGATTTTGGGGAAGCGATATTAAAACGACATGAACAATTGTTGATATTGAGCCACCACATTATGCTATTGTTCGACATGTTTTCATTTGATCCATCTGCGAGGCCTTAGATAACTTTGCACATTGCTTACACTTTTGGATTTCTTGGATCTAGTTCCCTTTCTTTTTAATTACAATCGTTTGTGAATTTAATTCAGCTAAAAATCTAAACGAGAATCTCTCTTTTATAATTTGGGTTCGGGTTGTATCATTCAGCTAAGCACTACCTAATCATCCTCACATGCTTAATTGACGATTTGTCAAAAGAAGATGGAAAAAACGAAAGTAAAAAGAAGCAGAAGAGAGGGAACAAAGAATAGAAGAAGTGGGGCCCTTTACCGTTTTGCTACATTGAAAGGCGAAGAATGAAAGAAGAAGAAGAAGAAGGCCGCAAAGGCCAACCCACAGCCGTTATAAAAAAAGCCCACTGCCTCTCCCAACTCTTCTCCCCCTTCCCCTTCCCACTCTCTCTCACTTCTCACTGAAGCTAAAAAAAAAAGTTCCTTCCCCACCTCACAAGTCCGAAACGTTTCGTCGGGGTTTCACCCTCCGGCCATGGCTACCAGACAGCAGCAGCAACAGAGATACCGTGGCGTCCGTCAGCGGCATTGGGGCTCCTGGGTCTCCGAAATTCGCCACCCGCTTCTGTATGTAATTCTCCTTCTCATTCTTGTCTCTCTCTTTTTCATTCCTTCCTTCCTCTTCATAATTATTCATGAAAAGTGCACGTTGGTTGTTTGCGTTTTCTTACAACCAGTAAGACGAGAATATGGCTGGGGACGTTCGAGACGGCGGAGGACGCGGCCCGAGCCTACGACGAAGCGGCCCGGCTGATGTGTGGGCCGAAAGCCCGGACCAATTTCCCTTACAGCGCGGCCCAAGCCCAGTCGTCTTCTTCCAGGCTCCTCTCCGGGACTCTCGCCGCCAAGCTCCACAAATGCCACATGGCCTCCCTCCGGGGAATCACGGCCTCCAACAAAATCACTGCTACTAACAAAACTACTACCGCTACGACTAAAACTGGTGCAGTGAAGATGGAAGATACGATTCAGTACTCGCAGGAACATCGATGGAGAGCAGAAGCGCAATGCTGCGTCGGCGGCGGGGAAGCTGCGGCGGCGGAAACGGTGGCCGGAGGGAGTTTTGAGATGGCCAATGATCAGGAGGCGAAGCAAAATGGGTTTGTTGGTGACGAGGATGAGCAGATTATGGTAGAGCAGATGATAGCGGAGCTGCTGGATTGTGGCGTGTCCCTCGAGCTTTCTTCTGTTTCTTCCTCATCTTATAATTACTAATTAATTCAGAATTAATGATATTAAATGTTAATTAATTAATTAGTATGGCTTAATTTTATCTTCTTTCAAGGCTTCTTCTAGTTCTACCCTTTGCTTTTCTACGACGAACTTCCCACTTCCATGCTTGAATGCTTTCTGCCTTTCTTTTCCAAAATTAAATTTTTTAAGATAACTAAACTAAGAGATGGTTGATGACCAAGGTTGTCAACCCGCGGGTTGACCCGGACTCGGTCGAGCTAGTGGGTCAAGGGTTAATGGGTCAACCGTTTTAGCCCGGTTTGGCCCGGTAATATAGAAAGAGTCATTATATTGTACTTATCCTCATAAATTATATCAAATCTTATCTAAAATATGAGTTATAACATATAATATTACACCAAAATAACATATCGTACTTAGATCCAACATATAGTGAAAATTCACACACACTTATGTAACATAAATATTCAAATGTTCAACTTAGTATTCCAAAAATTGAGTTAGGCGAAAAGAAAATTTGGAAAATAGACGCATTTCGCAAACTAAAGAAAAAAATGACACAATTTGACCTCCAATCCGGTACCTAATAGCGGTCGGCCCGGCGGGTGCGTACGGCCCGTTTTTCTCACCGGGTCAGGGTCAAATTGGGTCGACCCGTGGGTCAACCCGCGGGTTGACAACCTTGTTGATGACATGGTGCAAACAATATTTACTTACACAGAACCATTCACTGTATAAATTTATATATACGTAAATCCGCAAATGTTTGGGTTATAAGTAGGGGTGGAGTTTCGGTTAGTTCGGTTATAATCGGTAACCGATTGGTCGATTATCGGTTAACTGAATAGCCGCCCCCTTACCGACAACCGGCCGAAATAGTCTTCGGTCATCTCGGTTATCTCGGTTACCGGTTAATCGAGCCCCCTCCAAGACCAAAACCATCTCGTCCAGCCTCCGATAACCGACCAATCGGTTACCTCCGTTACCGATTAGTAGATAACCGACCGGTTAATCGGAAACCGGTAACAGAAACTCCACCCCTAGTTATAAGAGGAAATTATTGAAATATATATAATTTGACTAGTCCTGGCTCTGGGCTAAATTACACATTTGGTCACATAAATTATATGAATACCTCATGTTTGCCATCCGAATCACTTTTATTTCTTATTTGCCACTAACTATACGAATCCTTTCACCGATAGTCATCGTCCTTCCAATTCTGTTAGAATCATCCTACATGGCAATCAACTAAACCCTTTGACCGTTAGTTGGATGTCATGGCAATTAACTAACAATAAAAATATTAATATTAACTTTTCAAATTAAAAACACTTCCAATCTTCCTTCCCCCTCCATCAATGTTAGACATTATTTCACAACCCATACTCCCGGCGGTCGTGCACATTGTTCCTGACGTGTCGTCGAAATACGAAGAGTCCCCGCCGGAGTAATCCACCATCATCATCAGCCACACCCTCGTAGCCCTTCGCGGGTCTCGAACCTCACGGATAGGAGCTGGCGGCATCGACGCTGCTAGATTGAATGGGAATCAGAGCAATTCGTTAGTGCGAGCTCAATTGGTGGTGCCAGAGACCACGTTCCAAGTGCGGCTACCGAGACGGTGGAGGCGGCTGTGAGAAGTAGTCTGTCGGCATACCATAGACTTCCCCCCTTGTGATGAATCTTTCCTTCTCCACAGCATCGTCGTCCCAGGGGATGCCATTAAGGACCCAAACTCTGCTCTCGACGTCGTGACTAACGATTGGTTCACTTCGAGGAAAGATGAGTTCGGCTGCCGGAACAAGCAAGGGAAACTGTGGTCAGGCTAAGGCGACAAAATTACTCTCCAAATCCTTCATGGTTGGATTGTAGTTCCTTGTCAAAAGAATCACAAGGTTTCACAAAGTCGGCAAGTGCACTGAACAAGTCGCCGCCAGAGCTTCCGTATATCTCTACGTCGTCCTCAAATACCTCACCGCTGAGGTTCCTTACCGCCGATTCACTTTCCTCTTTCCGTAATTAGATTTGGTCAATTAAGATTTGGTCATCCACAAAGAACCCAATCGACGCCTCGTGCACGACCCTCAATTTGTCCACCGTGCTTTTCGCCAGTGATGGTGTTATGCTCCCACGCCACAATCCGAATTCTGGATCCGTTCTGATTTCCAGCCACGTCCCGCAGCAGTAAGAGTCGGAGCATCTGGCCACTCTCCGTTTCATCAATTTCGTGCAGCAGATATCACGTCCGCGGAGGTGGAAGGGAGAGAAAGAAATAAAGTTTTTTAATTTGAAAAGTAATATATATTTTTTATTATTTTTTATTGCCATGTCATCAAACTAACGGTCAAATGACATTGTAGACTGTCATGTAGGATGGTTTTAAAGGAATTGGATGGATGGTGACTATCGATGAAACGATTCATAAAGTTATTAGTGATTAAAAAAGAAAAGTGATTAGGGTGACAAACGTGAAAGATTCATATAATTTGAGTGACCAAATATGTAATTACTCCTGTGTCTGAACCTTTGTAGTTTGTATGGCCGGCAACTTCCTAGAGTGATGTTATTTTCTCAAAGAGCAAGTACCAGTCCCTACAATTTGACGAACCCTATTAATATGATGCACACTACCACTGCAGCTACTTACGAACTAATACAGAAAATAGTCAAATACGATTGGTCTACTCATTGCAATGTTAATGTATGTGACGGGGTTATATATGTAAATATGTATTATAGTAGTAGAGTTAGGGTTGGCCGCATAGAACCCTATATATATGTGTGTTCGGCCATCATAGGGAGTAAGGATTTTTCGATGATAATATTATTGACTGAGAGCTCGTCACTCTCCGTGGACTAGTCCTGTTCATCACGAACAGGGAAACCACGTAAATCCTGTGTGCATCGTCTTCTTTACATGATTTCCGTGGTTTGATTGACATGCAAATGATCCAAAAACGTTTGGTACTTGGTAGGATATCACAGGAGGTGCGAAAGATGGAATTATGGTTGAAGGAAGAAGAAGAACTCAATAGAGAAGAGGGTGAGAGTGAAATGAAAAAGGTTATGTGAGGGTAATATAGAGTTTACCAAAATTAGCAAGGATAATTTTGGAAGGAAGGGAAGGAAAATATGACATTTCATTTCATCAAATTTACGAGACATTTATTTAAGAAAAAACTCGATAATTAAGACATTTTGAATGTCACTTGTCACAAGTTCAAAATCACTCATTTTGTTTCTTCTTCTCAAAAGTAGCATTTGAAAAAATGTCTTATTATGTGGGATTGTGACTTGATCCTTGGACAGAGACCCAAGAAAGGCCCAATCGGCTTATTCATCAACGAGGACGTAATCAGCCTGGACAAAATCCAGGCAGAAGTCCAATTTCACGAGTTAGAGATCCAGAAGAAAAGTTGGACCAAGTTCATAAAAAGCCTAAACTCAATTAGCCCGTAGGGAGAAGTCCAGCCCAAGGATTATAGGAAGCTGATAAAAAAAAACGAATAAATACAAATAATTTTTGTGTGTGTGAATTTACACTTTTTATCTTTTGTTGTGTGACCAATCGAATTATCAAAACAATGATCATAAGATTGGGTGTACGCAAAATCGAGTACAAGAGGCATACTATTTCACATATATTATATTATGTTTCATATTTGTATAGGAAATCGTACAGATATTTCCCATACATACCAGAATATTTAAGTACTAACAGTAGACTAGTAGTCCAATTACTGATCAAATGACGTAGACAAGATATTCCCCACATATAGCCGTTACAAACTTACAATACATATGTATTTTCATGTAAGCCATACGATACACGTACGGTAGCCATAAAACACAACAAATAAGATTTTATTCCTTATTGTTCCTTACAACAGTCAAAAACCATTACATACACTACAATACATCAGGATAATCGTTACAAACGAGACGACGTCGCACCTCAGGGTCTAAGCGCTTATGCTAATTAACATTCGCCATAAGTGTACCTTTGTCACACCCAAACACCATCCTGCATGCCAAAAATATTTTTAAAACCAATCTTTGGTGTTAGAATCTGGAAGGAGAATATTCGAACACGTGACTGAATTAAACCAATCTGAAGATTGCAGTATTTTTATGGAGGTACTTACTTGTTGGAGCCTCCCTTGCAGCCAATAGCCCACACCCTTTCCAACCCGCAATTCAGTGTCTCAATAACCCTACACATAATAACACGTTCCTCTCCGAATTAAAAAAACGAGTTGTAATTTCTCTAAGCTGCCAGCGCAAGAAATGGAAGAGAAGTTAAGATAGATATAATAATTACTTGAACGTGGTAGCATCCCAGACGATGATAGTCCCATCTTCAGAGACCGAGACGAAGATTGGAAGCTCCGGATGCGCAGCCACCGCAGTGACATTGTTCTTATGGCCTTCCAAAGTTTGTACACAGCATTTCGTGTCACAGTCCCAAACTTTAACCGAGAAATCATCCGAACCACTCAGAATGTACAGCTTCTTATCATCATCATCTCCTGATACCAAATAATCCACACAGTTAACTCCTTTTGCATGTCCATCCAGTGACCCGACCGCAGCAGGCGAGCCAGCGTTCCACAGCTGCAACACAAACAAAGCGATCGAACTGATCATCAATCCACCATGTTTTTCAGTATCCAAATTATCCAAAGATACCAGAGTTTGAGACATGATACGCGTACCTTGACAGAGTTGTCGAGCGATGCAGTGGCGAAGGATTGGCCGTCCAGTGGGTTGAGAGCAACCTGCATGACGTAATGCGAGTGTCCTTCGAGGACACGAGTGCATTCCCAGTCTCTCTCCCAATCCCACATCTTCACCACCTTGTCGTCACCGGCGGACAGCAGGACTGGAAGCGTCGGGTGTGGGCAGAGACTTCTGATGAAATCCTCGTGTGCAAGAAACTCCTTCACCAGCTCCGTGGTGGTTTGATCGTAGACTCGGATCTTGCCGTCGTCGGATGCGGTCACGATCCACTGCTTCCTTGGGATGAACTTGGCTGATCTCACTGGCGAATCCGTGGCCTTGAATGACTTCTCCACTGCCTGGAAAACCAAAGTTTGTTTATATGGGTTAATTTAATTTATACGTCTCAGGATGGAATGAATGGAGAGAAAGAAGTTGAGATATATCTTTCTTACTTGAGTCTGGAAGTTGAGAATGCGGACCTCTCCTGAATGCATGCTCAGCAGAATCCATGGGGAAAATTTTTACGTCCAACCCTAGTTGGAGCTACTAGCTCCAACCAGCCAAATGGCAGACTACTATTGGTTCTTCCACCCCCCTTTTCCCCTTTATTTTTAATGCTTATATTATTGCTTTAAAATTAATAAAATAAAAAATACAATTGACGGCAGCATACTTTTGACGGAACGGGGCTTTTGACGGAAGGCAGCATAATTTAATTAGGTTATAGTTTTGGATTCAGCGTTTCTCCAATCGTGAACGAAGAAGCAGAAGGCGCACAGCTGAGAAAATTCAATCCCCAGCGGCTGCAGTTCGGGACAATTATCTATTCCCAGCTGAGAAAATTACTCCCGTCGACAGCTTCAGTTAGTTCCTTCTTTTTATTAGTCTTTTCATTCTGCATCTCATCATAATTAAGCAATGGCAGTGTGTCTGTGTTCGTTTCATTCTAACAATCGATTGACCAATGATCAATTATCTATTCCCGTGTTTAGGGCGGTCTTGGTAGACCAATAATCAATCATCAAAAGCTGCGACAATGGCTTACCTACATGGCAAACATATAAGGCTTAATTAACCTAAAAGGGTTTAATGATGATGTTGTTTGTGCGCATCCTTTAAAAGATGGACATGAATAATTATAAGAATCCAACTTATTTCATGAAGCAGCCTTTTGTTATTAATTTACTAGCAATTGTTTTCCATCAAGTCTTGCTAAACTCTTTTAGCTATATGGGTGCTCTACAGGTATGAGTTCACATGCAGAGGATGAAGAACAAAATCATCCTATGATGAGTGAAAGTAATGAAGTACCGCGGATTGGGATGAAGTTTGATTCTGATGATATGGCTTATGCATTTTATAGTGCATATGCACATAAACTTGGATTCAGCGTAAGAAAGCAATTCATCAAGCGAACTTCAACAGGAAAAGTAAAAAGAAGAACATATACATGTGCTAAAGAAGGAGAGAAAAATGCGAATAAAAAAGGGAAGGAGGTTGCTTACGAACGACCAATTACCAGAATAGGTTGTTTAGCGGAGATGACGTGCAAACTACAAAATGATGGTTTGCTTGAGGTTATCTCTTTTGAAGCAAACCACAACCATGATTTGGCTCCCACTCCAATGAAGCACATGTTGAGATCTAATAGAAAGATGAGTATTGCTCAGAAAGCTATTGCAGATGATGCTGAAAAGGCCGGGTTACCAATCAAGTCGGTTATTAATTTACTAGCAGTACAGAATGGGGGTCGGGAGAACAATGGATTTCTGGACACAGACTACTACAATTATATTGATTCTCAGAGAAGGGCTAAGCTGATTAAGGGAGACGGTCAAGCAATTATGGATTGTTTTCAAAAAGCACAATCAGATGATCCATCATTTTTTTACTCAGTGCAGCTTGATGATGATGATCTTATTATGAATATGTTTTGGGCAGATAGCAGGTCGATAGTTGATTACAAGTACTTCGGAGATGTTGTATGTTTTGATACAACCTACAGGATTAACAAGTATGGTCGTCCTTTTGCTCCTTTTGTTGGAGTCAATCATCTGAAGGAGACAATTATTTTTGGGGCAGCATTACTTTATGATGAAACAATCACGTCATTCAAGTGGTTATTTGATACCTTTTTGAAAGCAATGGCAGGAAAACACCCCAAGACTATATTAACAGATCAGTCAGCTGCTATGGCCAGAGCAATTGAAGAGGTATTTACTGAAACCCATCATCGTTTATGTGTTTGGCATATTTATCAAAATGCTGCTAAACACTTAAGCCATGTATTCCATGCATCCAACCAGTTTGCTAGTGATTTTGGTTCATGTGTATATGAATATGAAGATGAGGATGAATGGTATGAAGCTTGGGATTCTATGCTTAAAAAGCATAACTTGGAAAACAATGAATGGTTGCATGGAATTTTTGTAGAAAGAGAAAAGTGGGCCATGGTTTATGGGAGATATATGTTTACTGCTGATATGAAGAGTACACAACGTAGTGAATCAATGAACAATGTGTTGAAGAAGTACTTGAAGCGAAAACACAACATGGTGTACTTTTTTGAGCATTATGGTCGATTGGTAGTAGATAGACGCTATAAAGAGCTTTTGTCGGAGTTCAAAATGAGGGACACCCGCCCAAAATTGAGAGCAGATGTCGAGATGCTAAGACAGGCAGCAGAGATCTATACTCCTAAAGTGTTTGTAATGTTCCAAGAAGAATACCTCAAAGTATGGGATTGTACCATTGATAAGACTAGCAAAACAGAAGTTCAGGTGGTGTATAAAGTGAGATATGCTGGTAGAGGTACAGAGCACCAAGTCCGATTTCATCTTTCTTCTCAAGGAGTTGAGTGCAGTTGCAGAAAGTTTGACTTTGTTGGGATTCTATGTGCTCATGCTTTGAAAGTTCTTGACAAGAAAAATATAAAGCACATTCCCAAGCAGTATATATTGAAGAGATGGACAAAGGATGCAAAAGATGGACAAATAAGTAGTTCAACTGAAGTTCAGGGAGGGTCTAAGGAGCTCATTGGGAAGCGTTACCTGAATCTTAATTACAATTTTCGAGAGATATCCACCCTAGGAGCTGAGAATGACACTATGTATGAGCACACAGTTGGAGTACTTTCGAATTTGCTAAAAGATCTGCAGGAGATGAAAAAAAGCACACATGGTGGAACTTCTGATGAGGCATTATGCTCAAAAGATGAACAACATTATCCAATTGTAGCTGGAGTTAAGACCAAAGCTACAGTTGGACGACCAAAAGGCAGAATGAAAGGTGCATTAGAGCGCGGAAAAAATCATAAAAGTCAAACAAAGCCACAGGTTTTCTTTTTCTCATTTTCAAACAATTCTATTATGTTATATTGATTGTAATCACTATGTTTCAAATGACATTATATGTGTAGGATAAAAAAGTGAAAACGAGTTCTTCTCAACAAGTTTACAGTAATCCTGAAGTTAATGGTCAAAACAGTCAGGTAATTGTTTTAGCTTATCCTAATTTATGTAGAAGAAAAGTGTAATATGTTTGTTTTATTGATTGACATATCAAATTTTGTAGGTGGTGATTGAGCAATATGAATCTCAAAGTTCGATTACTAGACCAACAGGATATATTCATGAAGAGCACTTTGACTTGACAATACATTCCAATAATATGTCATATACTCAATTGTTACAGGTATAGAAAACAAGAATTACTTTTATGTATGTTCTATAATTCTCTTTATTAATACTTTTGATTGATGCCATTGTTTTGCAGGAGGCAATAGCAAATTCTCATTATGATGATCCGAAAGTGTGAAAATATTTATTTATCAAGCACAATGGAATATTCTCCATGTTTTCTTTATCTGAATATTTGGAACGAGTTTCAATACTTTTTTGGGGAATCCATGGTTGACATTTGAGAGTTTTTCCTATAAGAATTCTGTTGCAATGAATTATTGAGAAGTAGTTCATTTTCACTTTGTTTGTCATCAAGTATTCACTTAGTTAATATATCAAATTTTGATATTGAATACTGATTTTTGTTAAAGTTGTTATAATTAGTCAATTCGTCGATTGATATTGGAAAGACAATAATACTTTGCACTCTACCAAAATTGATGGATTAATTGATTTTACAAAGCATGACAAAATAAACTTCTTTCTCGTGCATGGCAAATTCAAGGACTAGGAGCAGAGCAATTAGCCAATCAATGAATAGGCATGACCTAGCTCATTTGAAGGTCCACTTAATTATAAAATAAACCAGAGTATACCACTGCAGCTTTTGATTCCAATGATAAGGAAAATTCTTCCGTCAAAAGCCCTGTTCCGTCAAAAGTATGCTGCCGTCAATTGTATTTTTTATTTTATTAATTTTAAAGCAATAATATAAGCATTAAAAATAAATGGGAAAAGGGGGGTGGAAGAACCAATAGTAGTCTGCCATTTGGCTGGTTGAAGCTAGTAGCTCCAACCGGGGTTGGACGTAAAAATTTTCCAATCCATGGCTGAGTTGGATGGAATTCTACCGACTTCACCCTCTCCGAAGCTTGGGAAAATGTTTTCTGTCACATAAAACAATTTTGGATCAATATTATGTATAAGCATTTTCTTTAGCAAGAGTCCTGCTAGTTCAGATAAGAGGAGAGAGAGAGAGAGAGAGAGAGAGAGAGAGACGTGGAAATATTTGGTACCTCAATTTGAAACGCCTGAGATTAGTTCAATTGATCCCAATTCCAATGTGTTTGGAAACAAAGTTCCAAGGGCAGAAAGAAGGAGAACAAATGGAGCAACACTGTTAGTAAATTGAGTACAAGAGTAAAAACAAAAGAACAAAAAAGTAATACTGACACTGATTATTCTTTTTAAAAATTCGAATATAGTATATGGTGGATGTTCACATTTATCAAATCGGAATTCACGAACGAGACGTTACAAAACCGAACAAAGGTGGAATGGGAGTTAACAAGTGGTCGAAGCATGCATAAATTAGAGTCTCACCATTAATCTTTTTCTGTTCTGCTTTCACACAGTTGAATAGTTGATGACCGATGCTATTTATTTAACTTGGCTCTGGCTTTGGTTTTGATGATATGAAGAAGTCTGTGGAGATGGAAATTCGTGGAGAATAATGGGCAAGTATATATAGGGCTTGGAGATAAGAGGGGGAACTGCATGCAGATGAATCCTTTGTGGCTAAGGAAAGAAACTAATTACTGATTGGTCAGAGGATGGGTCAAACAACACTGTTTGATTTCTTCGATGAGACTTTTCAGCTGCCTGCTCGATCGCATCATTAAATTCATGCTGGCCGTTGATGGCTGCACATGGAGTGGGATCGACGGCTGATACTTTGAGTCTTCGCAAAGCGCGTGGACTGGCAGACTGTGGATGAATGGATGGAAGTCGCTCTCTTAGATAAGTCGAAGAGAAGGCCGGCCTGCCTTGTTCTACGAAGGTTGTGTGTTGCCAAGCCCCACCACGGCTGGTAGTGGTATGTCGTGACAACTATTTGTATTCTACTTTTCTTTAATTTGCAATACTTTAAATTAAGTGTAAGTTTTAGTTTTGATTCGAATTTTAAAATAATATAATCGTGCACTACAACAAAACTTAACTTTAGAGACAGAGGTTATTTGCAAATGTATAATATCTTCTACTGATTAAGAAATTGGACGCAAATTTATTTGATACAAATTCTATTATCAAAACATATACTTTGCTCCTTCGATTGCATTTAGAGACAGATGTAATTGTTTCTCATTCTAGTTTTTTTACAACCCTATTTGCTCCTTTATTTACTTTTAGAGACAAATGAAATTGTTTGCCATTCTATTAATATCGTTTGATTACTATTTTTATTATACCAATAACTAGTCTTTTACCCGGCTCGTTGACCGGAGAATTTCATTATATTATTTATATCAATTTATTTATTTATATGTTTAAAACTTTTTAATCTTCTAATTTTTTGCTCTCAGTTCTTAAGTGAGTATGTGATGTGTCTATATTAAAAATTCTCAACTTAGCACGCTCACCTATAATGTTTCGATTCTTTAATGACAAATCATATTGTGAAGGTTTATCATGTCCCATTTAGAATAGTATGCAAAGATTTATCAACCAAAGTGCTCAAATTTATTATCTTATAAAACATATAACAATTCATGATTCTCGAGCTAGGACAAAACTCTTAACCAATTATCAAGAGTTCATATTATTAGATAAAATACTGGATTACTGGATAAATTGTGCTTATCCCAAGTGAAACTTGACACACACCATACCCCTTACGATGATCAACTTCTCTAATCTTGAATGTTCATGAAGTCTCAGCTAACGATCTTAGGTGACAATTTGTCTATCAAGATATTCAAATTTTGTATCTTATATAATAGAGTAAATACATTTTATTAGCCAAAAATTTCAAACTTTTCAAGTTGTCAGCAAAACTTTTTAAAATAAATAGTATTAGTCAAACATTAACTCTCCTTTAGCATTTTGTTAGTAATGTTGACTCAACAACATGATGATGAGTTGGAAGAGACACGTGACGGTCTATATTCCAATTTAGTATTTTAATTAAAAAATAATTACCAAAATTATTAACGATAACAGACAAATAGTTAGTATTTTGTTGTGATACAAAATATTTGCATAATCTTTTGTATTTTGAAAAGTTTATATAACAATTTTAAAAAATTGAAAGGTTTAACTTTTAAGTTTTATTTACTCAATATGTAACAATTGCTAATTGTTAAAGTTTGGATTAACCCTCAACCAATGGTTGTTCTCTATATGCTGGCTTAGAATCTCAGACCAAGAAACTCTCACACACTATCAACGGTTCTCTTCTTAGCATGGTCTTTTATTGTATAATTTTTCAAATTTTCTAATGTTCATTTGCAAAATTTTCCTTATGTTTTATGTTAGTTCTAGAACAAATTTTTTTATTATATATCTTAATAATTGATAAAGCATGTCTACAATGCACATTGATTTATGTGCATTAAAAACATCGTATTATTTAAACAGTTAAATTATTATTTTTTGAAAATTTTATATTTTATAAAATTTTAAAACTAATACAAACATGGTGGCATTTCACATACATATGAATTACTGGATGAGTTGTAGACACATCTACTGTTAATATCTAAGCATACATAAAGAGTTTACTTTATTTTTAACCCTGATAAGTAATTAAGACATTTGAACTCACCTCGTTTAGTGGAATATGAAAATAAAATTTTTGGCTACGATAACGATCTAAATACATATTGCTTACTACTACAAAGTAAAACATATTTGTTTTGACACTTTGATCAATGCTAGGTGAGTGGCTGATGAAACATAATATTATCGTATATCGTCAACAAAGATTTCTCTAAAATTCACACATATCATATAATATTTGTACATTGTCAAGTTTTTATAGATATATACATTAGATATAAGAGAGTGCTTAATAAAAAAATATAAAATAATATAGTTCACTTTTGAAAGTCCATTGTCTAACAATTATTTTTACTCTTTCCATCGTTACATTTTGTTTGATCAATAAAATTATATTAATATTTATTATGTGTTTGTTTATAATTTACATAAAATGTAACTTATTATTAAGTTTAGTAAAAATGAGTATAATTTACTTGATAAAGTTTGATAAGATAATTTGATTTAAGAAATTCAATATGTATCACTCTACAAACATTAGTCTATGGCTACAAATATAGATATATATAATAAAAACAAAAACAAACATGAATTATTGAAGAAAAGAAGAAAATTATTAAAAGAAGAGAGAGATAACACCATAAATATATTATTAACTAACTTTTTTGTTTGTAAAAAAATTGTCCACCTTGGCAACTTGTGCATTCTCCAAGTGCTTATGTTGCAAGAAGTTGCTTTTGAACAACCATAATATATAGTAAGAAGCTTTGATAGAGGAAATTTGCTAATATTAAGCGAGAAACAAAAGCTTCTTACATATATGTATAATCAATGGCTGCTAATACAACAAAACTAGTACAATAGAGTACACAAAGGAAAAATAATAAAATCTAAGGACATATAAACACCGCAACCATGGATTCTTTTAGTGAAAAAAGTAAAGGCCACAAGAACTAGGGTTTTTTTCCAGAAATAGCACCATTAAAAAAATTTACAAAAATAGCACCCAGGCCACACAAATTCCAAAAGTAGCACCCTTTTTTAAAAACTGCACGACCAAGGTGCGATTTACATACAAACTGCAACCTGAGGGTGCGGTTTGAGTTTCAGAAACTAAACCGCACCTTGGACAGGCGGTTTGCTTTCTAACCTACCAGAACCTCATCCTGGCAAGGCGATTCTTAGGCTGACCTAGCACAACGACCTGCTGAGGATGCAGTTCTGTTTCTCTAACACAAACTACATCCTTAGGGTGCGGTTTTCATTTGCCGACACACAAACCACACCTCCCCCTAAGGTTTGTGTGTCGTCCCCATTTTCCCGACAACCAGCATGTTGGCCATGCAGGTTGACAGTCATGGGGCTGCATGGCAGATGAAAATCGGAGCCTCCCCCTGCGGTTTTCAGTGATGAAAATCCTATAAAAGGCAGCCCCGGGAAACCTCTTCTTTTCACACCTCTCCTTCTTCTTCTTCTTCAATTTTTGTTGTAGCACCCTACTTTTTATTGTTTTTGCGATTAACGTTAAATCGTAAGTTTATTTTGTATTACTTTTTATTGTGATTTGTGATTTTTATGATTTTAACTGAATTACGGTTTTATTGCATATGGCATTCCAAAAGTTCACGCTTGGGTTACGTTGGAATGGTTATTGGGAAGAGGCCGGAAAGGGGGTCACCTATGTCGGTGATAATTTTCAGAAAATAAAGGTCGCTACTAGACCGATGCTTGAAGACCTCCATCAAATGTGTACTAACGTTACTTGCATGGATGGCACGAGAAGAGTTGATCGTATGGTATATCTATATCCAAACAGAGAAGGCAGGTCGTTGTGGTATGAGGAATATCTCATAACCACTTAGGATGAAGTAGATGCCATGCTCGAGTTCTTGAGGTCCAATAATCTTTCCAAAGCCGAGATGTTCGTTTACACTGAGGCGGTCGAAGGCGTTGGATGTCATTCTGGAGACGGGCAAACATCTGGTATCCATGGTGGAGGTGAATTATATGGAGATCATCCCTACCAAAGTTACCATGATCATCATTCCTACTTTCAGTACCAAGAGCAAGGTGAAGCTCATCATCAATCTTTCCCATCATATGAAGAAGAAGTTCAACGACACCATGTCAACCAACCCGAGTACAACTTCCATTCAGGCAGCGATAGTTTTCACAACTACCATTACGGAGCTGATGAAGGTGCCTTTCATGATCTGGATCAGATGGAAGATGCCCTGCCAACACCAGTTAGTGACCCCTCCGATGAAGAAGAAGGGAGCAATGTTAGTGCAGACAGCTCCGACCCTCTTGAAGGTGCTGATGATTCAGGAGGCCTAGAGTTAGACTCAGATGATGATGAGGTGTCTCGTGACCGTGTACCTATTCCGTACTACACTCACATTCCAGACGACAATTGGTGTGTCGACAGCGACATGGGGCCGCCAGAGGTCCTAGTATGGGGTCCACTCACTGGGTTTATGAAGGGCCAACAATTGGTTCGAAGAAGGAGGTGCGGCACGCCATTGAAATTGAAG